GCTGGAGCCCAGTCTCCTCAAACGCACACGTGGTCGGCTGCTCGGCGGTGGCGGACACTGCCAGTCCCCCACCGAGCAGCAGCCAGATCTTGCGAGGGTTTGCGTTGAGGCCGGCGGGGCAGACGCGATGCCAGCCGTCTCGCACCTCGTCGAGAGAGGTCGCCATAGTCTGCTGCTGTCCGTGGAGCCGTACTGCGGCCGCCGTCACGATCGCGATCCTCGGCGCTGTTGCCAATGCTGCAGTCGGCGCCGCGGCGCCGAGCGCGCGAGTGGCGCCGACGGCCAGCCCGGCGCCACCTCCCAGCGAGCGCATGAGCGAGAAAACGCTCATGAGCGCCCGGCCCAGCGCACGTGATCCGGGGCGCGACGGTTCTGGCGGCGCGATTTTGGGGCGAACCGTTTTGGGGGGCGGGCGATGCGCAAACGATCCAATCTGCCCTCGTGATCCTTATTGCACCCGTTCCGGCGCTCATGATCCTTATTGCGCCCACTTCCGGCCGCTGATCCGTATTGCACCTGTTTTGGCGCTCTGATCTCGAGTGCCACCCTTTGCAGGCCTGTGATCCTGACAGCACCCCTCTCAGGCCTATGATCCTCAGTGCGCCCCCTCCAGGTCTGCTGATCCCCACAGACCCTGCCGTGGGTGCTTGATCCTGAGGCGCCCCCCCGCCGGTGCTGTGATCCTGAGAGGGGTGTCTGTGATCCTGAGCCGCCCCTGCCCCCGTCCTGGAGGGCGTCGGAGGAGTCATACGTTAGGACGGGTTAGTGCCGGGTTAGTGCCGGGTTAGTGCCGGGTTAGCGTCGGGTTATGGTAACCCGTTCTGACCCGAGCTGACCCTTGCCTGGTTAGTGTGGCTTAACCCGGTGAAACCCACGCTAACCCTGCGCTTACCGACAGACTCACTACCCGGTACAATGTAGGGGGTCAGGGAGCGAGGGACCGTTGAAGACTGAGGGCCCAACAGGAGAATCGTGCTTTTTGGGTTGGGTTGGGTTGTCGGCACGGGTTGGGTCGGTGAGTTGGCTTGTCCACCCAACCGACCGCGTGAGATAGCGCGCTGAACTTTCTCGCCGAGGCTCGCCGTGGCCCCACACGGCGGCCTCTGCTCGCGTTTTCGAGCCAGGACCTTCGTCCGGGCCGCAGCACGGCTCTTCCTGTGCGTGCCGGAACAGAGCTCCATGCAAGCCGTCCAACGTGATAGGAACGAGTGTATCGCTTCGACGGATCGACCGTGCTTATTATCAAGACCGATGTGACGTACACAGTGACACAACAGACGACACACATTCTCACACCCGCCGGGCCGCAAAACGCTCTCGACGAGAGCCACAAGAAGCCGTCCGCACAGCAAGCCGCTCGTCGCGTCGTCGGACAGGCGTGCTCGTTCGATGTCGGCGAGCGCATGGCGCACGCTTTGGACGGTGGCGAAGCCAAAAACACCGGCGTGGCCGTCCGCTGGCGTGAGCGGCGGCGGTCGAGACCTCACCCTTCGCGCCGACGACCCAACCTCACTCGAACAACCCAAGCACGGCCCCGCACGGACAACCCAACTCCGCCAACCCACAACCCAACACCTGAGAGCGGCGCGCGGAGAGTGCCTCGCAGCCCGGGCGCTCGCCTCGCAACAACGTAAATGCGTGCATCACACATGCCTAGTGCACTCCCCACGCTCCTCCTGCTCTGCCCCGCCGGCGCCTTTGTCACGCTCCCACCGCTTCGAGCCGCTCACGTGGCGCCGAGACCGGCCGCAGTCCACGCCAAGGCCGGCGGAGGCCTCCGCCTGCTCGAGTGGATCCCGTCCCAGAAGCTGCTCGTTGGCACTGCAAAGTTCACTTGGACGACGCTGTGGAAGACGATGATCAGCGAGCTCGCGCCGCAGTCGCCAGACGGCGAGTACGTTCGACCTGCGCCACAGCGCGGCTCCGGTGCGCGCTGGCCAGCAAACAAACCAATGGTCGCCGGCCGCTATCACGTCTACGTTGGCAACCCGTGCCCGTGGTGCCACCGCGTATCCATCACCCTGGCTCTGCGCGGCCTGGATGGTGCCGTCGGTCTGACGCGCCTCGCCAACGACCCTGAGCGCGCGAGCCGCGGCGGCTGGTGCTTTGATGACTCCGCGCCGGATCCCCTCGTCGGCGCGGCCGACCTGAAGGCCGTGTACGACGCAGTCACGCCAGGAGGCGCCTACGAAGGCCGCTGCACCGCGCCGCTGCTCGTCGACCTTCAGGACGGCGAGATCATCTCCAACGAATCGGCCGACATCATCCGCATGCTCAACGAGTTCGACGAGCCGGCGGGGAGCAGCGCCGCCACCGTCGATTTGTACCCCGCGGAGCTCGCCGCGGCGATCGACGAGACCAACGCATGGACGTATGAGCTCGTCAACAACGGCGTCTACCGCTGCGGCTTCGCCACCCAGCAAGCGGCGTACGAGGCGGCAGAGCGGGACGTGCACGCTGGGCTGCGGCGGTGCGAGGAGGCTCTGGCCGGCTCGCGCTTCCTGTGCGGGTCGCGCGTGAGCGAGGCGGACGTGCGGCTGCTGCCGACCGTCGTGCGCTTCGACGGCGTCTACGCGCCCTTCTTCCGCTGCGGCCGCTACCAGGTGCGCTCCGACTACCCGCGGCTGCAGCGCTGGTGCGGCGAGATGCTGCGCCTCACGGGGCCAGGCCTCTTCGACCTCGACGACGCGAGGCGCGGCTACTACACTGACCTCTTCCCGCTCAACCCGGGAGGGATCGTGCCGGCGGGGCCGTCGCCCGCAGACTTGGGCTGGCCAAGCGGCGGGGAGGCGGTGGCGGAGCGCGACGAGAGCGCCTTTGCGAGGAAGCGCGTCGCCGTCGAGGCCGCAGAGTGAGGAGACGACGGTTGCCCGGTGGGTCCTGTACGCTCACCTGTACGAAAGAGAAGAAACAAAATAATTGCGGTCCATTGGACGGTAGTCTCGCAAGAGGGTGGGGACCTGTTAATAAATAAAAGTTAAAACGGACACCTCTACTGTGAGATGGGTAAAAAGGAACAGATCCCCGCCCTTGCGATCTTTGTGCAGGGTTCTTTGTGGGTGTGGTCGGCGACTAGCCGGGGTCGTCCTCCCGATGGGGGACTAGCACTATCCACTAATGTGGCAGGAGATTGTGTGGAGAATGACCTCCAGACTGACCCGGAGAATCACCTCCACCCAGCCCCACCGGCTCAGCTGCTCAGCACCCCTATTATCACACTCTCTCCCCCCCCCACAGTGACGAATAGTCTACCTATATCCCTATATTCCCACACCGGTCTCAGACCTACATTCTATATTCCAGAATGGCATTCTCTTCGAAATAGAATGGGCGCCGCAGCGGCCCGTAGCGGCGCCCCCTGCGTGCCCACGGCCACCCCGGGGCCATGGGACATCCCCCCGGCCATCGGGGATGCTTGGTTCATCCATTACCCCATTTACACGGGCTGTGTTGCGGCGCGCCTCGAGACGCGCAGCGCAGCGCAGCGCGCAGACCACAAAACAGGTCAGAAGACGGCCGTGGCGACACCCGCTCTCTGAGCGACAGCCCCGCAAAGGGCACTCGCTCGCAGGCGAGGACTACGGGCAGCACAGGCAGCAGCAGAGCTGGCGGTCCGTCTCCCCGCCCGCTGTAGCAAGTCGGCCCCAGCGTCACGGCCGGGACGGGCCAGGAGCCGCCCGGCTCGACGAGATCGACGAAGAGGACGAAGACGAGGACGAAGACGAGGAGAGGACTACTCGAACTTGGACGAGGACTCAGGCGAGGCGCAGGACTCGGAGACCGGGCAGGGAAGCGAGGACCATGACTAGGTGACACGAGGAGTAGATGTGACACAGGTAGACCGCATTCGCGCTGTCTGCTCACTTCTGCCGCCCGACCCGTTCGCCCGCCCACCACTTGCGAGCACAAATCTCACACTTCCACTGCCCTCGCCACAGGCGGCGACGGATGGACATCCAAGGCTCGAACGGCGGCAGCGGCTCAACGGCCGCCGGCGGCCGTCGTGCGTTTGCTTTCGCCATACACGGCCCCCGGCGTCTGCTCTGGTTTGCCGGGGCGGGGGGGAGGACTCTCATTTGCGGGCTGTTGGGCTTCTCTGTGTTGAACTGGCGCTTGTCGCGAACCCCACCAGTCTGGCCGAGCGGCACGCTGCCGCTGGGGGCGTGAGGAGGCCGTGGGGGACGGCGGCGGACCCCATTCTTCGATATAGAATGGGCCCTCACCGCGGCCCGTCTGCTGCTGAAAATGTGGCGTGTTGGGGGCTCTCCTGTGTGACTCCTCTGGCTCGCCGCGTTAAAGTGGCGCCTGTGTGTGACCAGCCTCAACCCCGGCAAGCGCCCCCCGGCCGCTGGGGCTGCGAGGCGGCCGGGTGAGCGCGCGCGAGACGCCATTCTACATTATAGGATGCCATTCTATAATATAGAACGGCCAGGTAGGGCTGAGACCGACACCCTGTGCAGTGGCACGTCTCGCCACCTAGATCCCTAATATTGGCACCTTGGGCGCCGAACAGGCGCCCAAGTATTGCCACGTAATAGCTCCCTCAACTCTCGAGGCGTCGTCATGTGACACCTTGAGCAGTCACCCCGCTGAGGCTGAGCCCCAGCATTCCCGGTGTTGTACGACACCATTCCCTTAAACCACTCGGATACGAGTTCCTTATACCAATCCTACAGCCGTCTGAGACGGCACCCGGATCGAGGGTGGCTTTACAGCCTCACCCGCGATCAGCAATACGTACCGCAGAGCCGTGCACGCAGCTCCCCACTCACACTTGCTGGGCACCAACCTTTGGGTCCAGATGACGATCCCTCTACAAACGAGGGAAGAGGGACGCCTCGCGATACTACAGAGGGCCTCGACCAGGACACTTGCTGGTCAGACCGCTCCAATCACTACCACACCGCGTTGGGGCTAGGCAGCCGCGTAAGCGAGCCCAAGCAAGGGCGGCATCGATGTACTCAAGGGGTCATCGTCGCCTGACTCCGTTGGGGAGGGGGCTACGCCAGCTGGAATGCCTTCTGCCGGGCTGCCGGCGAGCTCTCCTCCGAAGGAAGTCTCACCAAACCCGGAAGGGATTGGCTTGACCGTGGCAGCGATCAGGCCAGCTGCAGTGAATTCGCAGCAGGACGCGAGCATCACGCAACAACGATACCAATCAACAGAACTTGGACGAACATCGGACGAGGCTTTGGGCGTGCAGGAACCTGCCCAGAACCTCGATGCATCACCTTCACCATCGCCTCTGCTGGCCGCCGCAGGGCAGCCACCAGCACCAGTGCCGCTGCCGCAGTCAGGCGCGCCCGGTACTACACACGCCTCCCCCTCGCCGGGGGATGGAGCCTGCAGGGGAGGGAGCACGAAGGCAGGTTTTTCGCGTGTCGAGCCGCCAGCTGGGCCGGCAGCAGACGCCTCGCTCGTCTCTCCGATTACGGATGATGTCGCGGCCGGGACCGCTACCGCCGCCGCTGTTGTGCCAGTTTCAGCTATCGACTTCCTCAACTCCTGTTTGTCGTTCACCTGGACCTTTTGGACATGATCTCG